TTGATACAATAAAAACATCACTGCAATTACTATGCTCTTTACTTTTACAGTTTATAAGTCATTTTTTAGAAACTGATGTACAGCAGTCAACATCAATGTTAATTTAAAACTATTCTACTATAAATTATCAGCAAAAATTGTTTTGTAGTATTTTACTGCAGTAGCCTCAATAGAACAGAAAAAGATCATAGAAGTAGTAATTTAAAGAGAAGAAAATCAAAGGTCTAAAGAAAAAAAAATGGATAAAATTCAATTGATAGAAACGGTTTTGAAAATATGAAATGAAAGACAGATAATAAAAACAGATGATATGTTATAATGTGATGTGTCAGTAAATATAAAATTGCTTTGTTTAAAGATTCTGCTGACAACTAAGATAAACCAAGGTTCATGTAAATAGTTTGATGAAATCTGATACCTTGATGCTCTGCAAATTTGAATCCACTTCATCAAGATAGTGTCGTTGTGATGTACGACGTCCATCATAGCACAGGTAAACGGACAGAGCTAATACCAGTATAATTGAAATTGCCACATAGGACCAACTGCAAACACTTATCATCAGTTTATTACAGTCATCTTTTTCAATGAAATGCCTACAGTTGTTGACTTCAATGTTGGCTCAATAATTAACAGATGTTTCTGCAGTCTAAGATCGATTCTTTTTTTATTTTTTCATTTTTTTGTATATCATTATAGATAGAAATAATTGTCAGCATCAGTGTTTTAGAAAAATTTTTTGTTAATAAAATAGTATTAAACCGATTAGATAATAAGAAAAAAACACTTAATGTTTACTGTAACAAATTTTACCTGATAATTTTGAGTTGAAATTCTTTACTGGTTGTTGTTGTACTATTATTCATAACATTCTCTCCAACTGTGGCTTAAATAAATTTTATTTTTTAAATAAACTTTTTTTTTTTTTTTCGCAGAAACTATTGTATAATAAGAAAACTTTTTGTTAAACAGTAAAAGGTGTCATCAAAACACAGCAGCAAACGTCGTCTATTGCTCAGAGTTTTGATATAGTTGTTAAAAATTTTTAAATCAATTTTTATGCTAATACGATAAGATTTTTTAAAACTAATAAGTGTAGTTTCAAAACAGCAAAAAAAAAAAAAA